CAAGATTGTCCCGGAATGGAATTGAGATCCAGGTGGTTCTTAGTCTCTAAGGTCTACGGTTCCGTAGAGTCCTCTCAGCAGGCTTCTCTCCCTCCTTCACGAACCGCCTCTAGAATTGTCTTCTGCATTAACGCAGTATTAGAGTCAAGCAATCTCTCTGGATGCCCCTTTGCTTGCCTCCCCCTCCCCACCGCTCCACACTTGTTGAGGAGCAAACGATCTTCTTTTCTTGCCACCAGAATAAAAAGATGCCCTGTGGGGGCGGGGGAAGGGAAGAACAGCTGGGAGGCTGGAGCCCCCCCCCCCCCGCAGATCCCAGGGAAAGCAGGTTCCATACCTCTTCCCCCAACCCCCAGGCATCTGTTTCTTAGCCAGTGCTGGAAGGGTAGGCTTTTGGGGTCAGGCACCTTGAAGTAATATTGTACGGTAGAAATGCTGCAGAACTGCAAGTAGTGCGGGGCTCCAGCTTCCATCTGCTCCAGCCAGCATGGCCAACAATCAGGAGTGATGAGATCTGTGGTCTTTGAGAAAGCCACGGTTCTCCCACCTTTAGACTTCCCTTTCTAAGCCCATCTCTTTTTTGACAAAAGGGAGAGTCCATCAGCGACCCACCCAGCTAAGCCAGGGTATCAGGAACAGCTTGGATTCCCCCTCCCCACGCCGATCCCTAGAAAGAAGAAGCTTCCCCCATTGCTTCCCCATCACCCTCAGCCAGTATGGCCATGGCAGCTGGGATTGTTGAGAGTGGCAGTGGTCGGTGACAATGACTGGGTCCCGGAGAAGTTGCGAGCTAACCCCTCGCCTTCCCCTTGAGGCACAAAGGTGAAGTATCCTCCCCTCTCCATGCCCCAGCAGCGTTTTCCCAGTGGAAGGGAGCAAGGCCAGCGCACCAAGCTGGGCCTGGAATAAGAAAAAAACTGGACTGCTGGTCTCTCGATAGTTTTATTCACTTTTCCAGAGATTATTGTACACCAAATATTCCATTGGCAGTAAAGCGCATTCAATGTGTTGGCTTATAAACAAACACAAGTACAAAGTCAAAAATAAAACCACAAAAATAATGAACCGCATGTTCATAACATACAAAATTGCCGCCTACTCAGTAGGTAACTACAACATTTCAACTGCTGAATATATTTATAAATTTTTACACTTCTGTAACAAAAATAGACTTTTAAGAAGTACGGTTTTTTGTGTTTTGTTTTTGCTTACATTCCACCTTACGGCTCCTTCCCATTTTTGTTTCTGAGCCTCAGTCCCTCCTCTTCACACTTTCCCTTTACCCTTAAGGCTAGATGCAAAGCATCCAATCACACAAATGCATGACGTCAGCAGGGCTTCACAACAAGGCACCAAGACTTGGGACTGGGGAAAAAAAAAAACAAAAAACCGGAGGAAAACCAAAGAACTTTTTGCCACGTGAGAGTGCTTTCATCCTCAAGGTGATATTTACAAAGAACATCACACTTTTGACATGCTCAAACACATAGTTTTAAGTGCTGCTTTTTTTTAACTCCCGCACCCCCTCCCCCAGAACATGTTGTAAAACTCATTACAGCTTCGTCGTCACTAAAAGAGCAAAACTCACAACTTACAAAATAATAATAATGGTCCTTCGTACTCCAAAGAATAAGCAAGATGAATCTGCAAAGAGGTTGGCACGTCGAGGGTTTCCAGGAGGATCCCCAGGGGAAGCAAAGCTGTGGCAGCACAGGCACACGATCACATTGTGGCCGCCTGGAGCCCAGCGTCCTTTGCTTCCTGATGGACCACGGCCCGGAGGGAGGGGGAGGGGGCTCTCGGGAAAGAAGATCGAGCTTGCTTGTCCATGCAGGTTCAGGTCTTGGACAGAAGTGGAGCAACTCCATGGTCCTGGAGTTGGCGAGCTGCTTTTCAGGCAGTTGAAAGGTCCAGAGGCCCTGCAGGCTGCCCGGGAGACGGGCCTGGATCAGGCTGGCCAGGCCTGTGTGACCAGGCCTTGTGGGGGCCTCGCTTCCCTCTCTCTTTTCAACAGATCTCAATGGTCCGAGGTGAGAACGTGGAGGCCAAGTCGGGAAGGGTTGAAGTCACTGGGGAGCTGAAGGGGCTGGAGAGGCCACCGGGCGAGGGGAAGGAGCTGCCCCCTGCCCCTGCCTGGCTCTGAAAGGTGGATGAGGCGATCGACGCGTAGCTGGTAGCCACCGAGGGCGAGGGGTAAGAGGGGAAGGCCGAAGTCACGGGGGAGGAGTAGGAGGTCGCTGGGGGCGAGTAGGAGGCAGGCACCGGCGAGGGAAAAGAGGTGGCACTGGGAGAGGGATAGGAGGTAGAGCCCGTCGAGGCCGAGTAGGGGGCCAGAGGGGAGGGAGCTGAGGGTGCCTGGGGCCCGGCGGGGCCCTTGTCGGCCTTCTTGTCCTTCTGCCGGAGGTGGATCTTGGTATGGCGCTTCCTCTCGTCGCTGCGGGCAAACTTGCGGCCGCAGATGTCGCAGGCGAAGGGCTTCTCCCCCGTGTGCGTGCGGATGTGGGTGGTGAGGTGGTCGCTCCGGCTGAAGTTGCGCATACAGATGCGGCACTGGAAGGGCTTCTGGCCGGTGTGGATGCGAATGTGGCGGGTGAGCTCGTCGGAGCGCGAGAAGCGACGGTCGCAGGACTCCACGGGGCAGGCGTAGGGCCGCTCGTGTGGCGGGGTCTTGCTGGGCCGGTTGGGGTACTTCCTCATGCGGCTGGGCTTGACCAGCTGCGCCTGGTAGGAGCCGCCGCCCGGGAGGCTCTTGGGCTCCTGAGGAGGGCCGGCGCCGCCGCTCTGCGTGGCGAAGGCTTTGATGGTGGAGAGCGGCGTGAGCGAGGGCTGCGGGCCCGGGAAAGGCTTCTGCTCCACCGCGCCCAGACCCAGCTCGCCTGGCTGCGGCGGGGGCTGCGGCGGGAATAAGTAGTCCGGGATGATGGGCAGCTGGAAGCCGCTCTTGGCCGTCGGGTATGCCGGAGGCGGAAACTGCAGCGAGGCTCCGGACGGGCTGGGAAAGGGCTGGCTGGCTGGCTCCGGGAAGATGTCGGTCCCGCCGGGGTTGGGGAAGGTGGGCGCCGCCGAGTAGATGGGGCTGGGGTCACTGGCCTGCACCGAGCAGCTCAGGGCCGGGCTGGGAGAAGCGGAGCTGGCGATCGGCGAAGAGGCGGACGAGGACTGGGCGGACGTAGTCGGCGGGTTAGCCATGCCCACCAGGCCGCTCACCAGGCTGAAGAGAGGCTCCGGCCATAACGGGGTGCTGCCTCCACCGCTCGACGCCGGCTCCAAAGAGAAGCGGCCGGTGTAGGTAATGGGCGGGAGACGGGTGGTCTGGCTCGGGTAGCTGGTCTCTGCCAAGGGTTTCTCGCCGTTCAGAGAGATCTCGGGGAAAGTGTCTGCCGAGAGGAGAGCGGGCAGAGATCAGTCCCAGCAGGCTGCCTTCCCCAATCCCCACGAGCCCTGCCTGCCCCGAAGAGGCCAGCTTCCCTCCCCCCCCGGCCCCACTGGCGGGGCACTGCCCGGCGCCCGCGTCTCCCAAGGACCTTCCCCTTCATCCGGAGGGGCGGAATGGCTGTGCACAACATCTGGCAGCGCCTGGCGCCCCTCCAGCCGCAGAAGACCGGGGCCGGAGCGAGTGACGCACACCGGAGCATCCCCCCTCCCCGCTCCCTCTGGGCAGCGGAATTCCCTGCCGGAGGGCAGATGGACGGGAACTCCCGGCCCCCCCCGCCCCCCGCCCGCGGGACGTGTGTCTGCCTACCTGCAGCGAGGTGCTCGAAGGGCT